ATCGAAGTTTAGTCATCCTTTGGATCATTTTGAAAATCGCTGGGAAACTTCTGCTTCCGTTTGTTCATCATAAGAGAATGAGAAGACAGTTAGAGCGTTGCATGAGATAGGTGATCTGTTGATTGTCTAACTCTAGTATGATCAAAGCTTTAATAACGTTAATGAAATATCGATTCTGTTTACTTCTCATACGTTCTGTTAACAAATATTGTTAATGACCGCATAGATGTATTTGACAAACGTTGCACTTTGGAATGGACAGTGACAAGGCACATTTATTAACAAATCAGGTCATATTTTTGATTACCGACCCAAAGTTTCATCTCAAGAGTAATATAAACGGAATAAACTTAATATCTGTTGGAATTATATTTCTTGGTATATTGCAGTTTATTAAGGTTTCTATCTGACCACTTGTGCAACAATGAAAATTGTGTTAGCAGTTAGTACGAAACTACTATGGTCTGCAAAGAAATACCTCTCTCAACTGAAAGGGCTTACTGAATCCAAAAATCAGAAACCATTTCAATATTCAATAGTAAAGTTCAATTTTAAATTCCTTACATTTTCAATCTATTGTCACATAAAACATAGTTCTTTGTATGAAAATAATAACTGATATTGTAATTATGTGCTAAAAAGAGTGGATTTAATAGTATCACAGTATAGTAGAAAAGAACCTCTACACATAGATATACTCTGATAACTATCTCAGTATTCTCTTCCTTACACAGACATAATAAGCATGGGAAATGTAAACGAGCAGAGCAGAAGTCAAGTATATAAACTCCATTTGATTTGATTTAACTATTTCTAGTCAGACAAAAATAAGCTAGACAGACTGGTGATAAGCAATGCATATATACACTCAAGGAAAAAACAACTAACGTTACAAGCGAATAAGTGATGAGGTCAAAGTATATGTAAATATTGACTCACAAGGTCATCTAGACTTGTCATAACAGTACACATTACAAGTGCTGACATTACACGATATGTAATGTAAAAATATTCAACTATATTTTAATGATTATTCTTCCTGTTTAGTTATTTCTAGGGTTTGAATTAGGTTCATCTAGTGGATCGATGACAACGAATAGAATATCAATCAATAATAAATTACTTGGATCAATTTGTACTTATATTTATCGAAAAACTTTGGCTGATATTATCAACGAACGGACTCGAACTACAGATTTGGTAAATTTTGAATGATTTTGCTGATTAGATTAAAACATTCAGTAATTTATCAGTTACATTTTTATGATTCAAACATTTACTGCATTTTATCTGATTTCATTCTAACGTATGGATAAGTGATTTGAATCTTCATGAGCACAGGTAATCTTCAATTAATGAACAGTTTGAGTCATATAATTAAATACCATAGGTCTTCAAACGCAAACAATGTTACATTCTAAAGGCAAGGCAAAGGATAAGGTTGCGCAATAAAATGGATTGATCGAAGTTAGACATCAGCATCATCGGATGCCGGCTCAGTGGTCAAAATGGTTAAGCGTTCGCTCACAAGAACGAGGGTCCTCGGTTGAATTCCTGCTCTCAGGGTCGTGGATGCGTACTGCTGATGAGTCCCATACTACGACAACACAGTCGTCCATTACTTCTAGGTGTGGGATGGTAGTCTAATATTGATCGATCCTTGATTTCAATTGAAACAAGATAAAATAATGTAGTTTCATTTTTGAAGCTTAATACGCATTCTTAAACTCTGGAAAGAGAGACGTTTCAGTACGAGTTAATCACGTGATTTACACCAAAATGATGGACTAGTGAGATTGTTATTATTTGCATTGTCCCAGAGATAAAACTGATACATGCTAGCCCCATCAAATAGTGGAAGAGGAAATCTGTTTGACTACCGAATAATGTAGATTAATACTCATATACATACATACATTCCTTTTCCTAAGAAAATGAATCCATTTGTTGACCAATAATATGCACAGAACTGTTCTCCTCAAAATTTTTAATAATTCTAATGTTTTTCATACTAAACCAGTGAAAGATTCTTAAACAAATCACTTCCAAATACGGAAAAAATGTTAGCTTTATATATTTCCAAATAGAAAATATACTGTGAATCACATTTAGAAACTAAATTCTAAATATGTCCTTTGAACTACATAAATTAAAACAAATAGATGTGTACTCATGTTCAGTAAATATTAGCATGGTAAAATCATCACGAATAGATGAAAGAAGAATATGCTTTTGAATAAATTCTTATCAACTTCTATAGTTTTACATATAAACCAATAATCCAAAAGCATGTTCAAGTTTTTTGCGAAATACACCATATGAGTTTAGGATTGTGTGAATCTTGCAATTGATATTTGAGACTGTAAGTGAAGAATGGCTTTTGCTGTGTGTGGACCGTGTGCTGACTGTTTATAAATTGCCATTAAGTTACAAACATCATTACCAGATATGGATAGTGGCTAGAGGAGGAATCGTCCTATTTGGAACTCACCTTTGATTGAATGTACTTTTACATTCCAGAGTTGATTGATGTTCGCCCTGAAACTGATCAATTGTATTACCAAACTATCAAATGAATTAATCTTCACCCCATTATACAAGCCAGTGGCTATCTGAACTCAATAACTAGGTGGATAACGTATTTGTTTTTGAAACGAATGTTATTGGCTTCGAGTTCTGAAGTGAACATCAACTTCGAGATGTAGGTACATCCAGTCAAAGTCGAGTCCGAGGCAGAACAAGACTTGAGCCGTCAATTTCACTAATACTAGCTCTCATCCATTTCTTTATGTACAATAATTGTGTTATTTAATATAATATAAATACTGTGTTAACTTGTAAGATTAGTAATTAGAATGAATCTATGCAATATGAGGTAAGCAAAATAGTAGTATGAATGGAAATAAGATCAAATGTCAAGAACTGCATAATACGTGAAGAGAAATGAATTTAGTAGGAAATTATAGAGTAGGATAAGTGCTACTCAGATTATTAACGTATATGAATAATAATAATAACATTTGATCAATATCAACCTAAGTTATGAAAATACACAAATAATTTGAATACTAGTCAGATTAGATTGTCTTTTCATCAAAATAAATCATTCAGCTTAAGGTTTACCATAGTCATAGAATAAGTTGAACGTAATTCTATCATTTAGAGGATTTTGAATCTGACAGATTTAAGATTATTGATCTTACCTAATGACAAAAAGGAAAGACTAAACAGAGGGAATATGGTTAGATAAATCCGTGTGGAAAGGTACGAGTGCAGGGATACTGGGACTCAAGATAGAAAAGTAGATACAGATTGAATCCTTCTACGTCGCTGTGAAGGATTTTGAGATTAAATACCGAAAATCTCAAATCACTGATCACGATTATCATACAGACTCCTTAAAAAGAGACTACCAACATGGCTCACACCCACGGTCAATGTCTTCATGAACCAAAGGCACGTTTTGACCTGGCCATTCTAGCTTTCATTCTAACTACCACTAGTGCACTAGCAAGTATCACCCTTTGAGGTAGGTGTAGTCAGGAGTACTCTAGGCATTTTCTTACAACCCCAGTCGATGAAGATTAACTACCGTGCCACATTTGTTCAGTACCCTATACCGAAATTGAACATCGCAATCTCATTCATTCTGTCAAACGCAAGCACCCTAAGACTATATGTGTCTTCTCATTTCATAGAGTGGACTACTGAGCAGTATACACGACCTTCGATTAGCAGACGAAAATCTTCTTTACGCCATCATCCTTTTCTAAATGAGTGTAGAGATTTTTTTTCAGAGACCAGCTCACCAGGACTAATAGGACTTCCAAAACGGGTGAAGTTTCAACGCACTTGATCACGAAAGTCCCTATCACTAGTTTGGCCGTTAACACAGACCACGTCTGAAGCGAAACTTAGTGTTTAGACAGATAGAATCTTATCTTTAACATATTGACGAAATAAGACACCAAACAGGACTATGTCATTTGCGTATTGAGTCGATAACCAAATCTCCTGGTAGAAGATCACGTCATAAATAGCTAATTGAAGATGATCTCATTTCTAAAGGGATGTCAACAACTAAAGTTGGAGATACTACTGGTCAAATCTGACGAACGCCATTTGGAGCATTGATGAATATGTTGTTTCCAAAACTTGGTGCTGACTGAATATCCGATCCCAGGATTTTCTGTTCATGAACCCTAGATAAGCGATTGAAGACTATTAATCAAACTGACTCCTGTGGTTTTCGTCCTGTTTTTCATGTATTGGTACAATCGGTGATCGAAACATATCTGAAATTATGGCCAGTTTCCAGACTCTAACTAATAATTCAGTCAAAGAAACCGATGGAACCAGACCAACATCCTAAAGGATCGAAGGTGTTAGACCACCAGAACCTGACGGTCTCCATCACTTTGGATTACGTACAGCCTTTTTAACCTCATTAAGAGTTGAGGAACTTGTGTCGACTTGATATTCGGATTGATTGATGACGGAGAGTAAATGGAGGTCCACTGACTGTGTTGGAGATGTTAGATCCCCAGAACTCTCTTGATAAATATCTTCATTTTGAATTCATTTCATGCACCGATCAGTTGACCATGAGATCACACTTCCCACCAGGAAAAGCCTTGGCTGCGATTGGTTACTGTGTCATTATAGTGTGCTATTTTTGTGACTGTCCCAAGGAAGTCTCTATGGTGTATAAATAAACGCAATTTGAGTGCTTTGATTCATTGTGTGCTAGCTGGGTGTTAGTAGAATACAATTTCTAAGCTATATCAAGACTTCTTGCTGGCACAATTGGGTCAAGGGATTACAGTAGCCTACCTGAACGCTAGTTCATTGTTTTGTTCTCGTTATTCGACTAAGGTGAACGCGTAATAGTTTAAGCATACCTAGAGACGAGCGTAACAGACTTGTCCTCTAAATTCTTTTCCACACTGTCTACGATCACTGCACAAACATTTTAACCGTACCCGTTCGAGTTGTTTCCGTTTTCACCAGACACCCACAGGTCACCTGTTCAAGTCCCTACCTACAAGGTGATTATTTTTAGGTACAGTGATTTAGTGCACTCTAGTACATGAGTTCCTCAGGTCACCTTTCGGTAGAAATAGTGGATCCTCATTCAATCTGGATGCCTTCTGCCCCTCTTGCTTCAAAAATGCAACTAAGCGTTCTAATTGAATAACATGATTAAAAAAGGTAGCTTTTAATTAGTTCTATATTTTTGCTGACCACTCCACTGATATTCATTTTTTTTCATTTCTAGCCAGTACCAGTTGAATTACAAAATCTAATTTTTAATGATACTGAAATGAAAGAAATTTATGGACTGCTTGGAAGAAAATATTTAACAAATTCTGTTGTAAGTTTGATTCTATATTGTATTTAGTTGATTAACATCGAAAGATTGCAGTGATTTTAAACATTGGTTTGAATTCAAGTCAATTGACAGTATAATGGAATTTTTATGAAGTATCGTTAATAATCGCACACTCAATACAATCAGTATTCTTACGTCACATAAATTGTTTCACATTGAAATATTTCAAAGTTTTGATCAGTAGTATCGTTGATTAATTACTTACTTACTTACGACTGTTATCCCCAATGGAGCATAGGCGGCCCACCAGTTTTCGCTAACTAACTGTCCTGGGGTTCCCTCTCCACTTCTTTCCAGATTTCGTTCATTCTTCTCATGTCTTTCTCTATTTCTCGATGTAATGTGTTCCTTGGCCTTCCTCTTTTCCTTTTGCCTTGAAAGTTCCATGTGAGGGCTTGTCTTGTGACGCAGTTTGGTGCTTTTCGTAGTGAGTGTCCTATCCACTTCTACCGCTTCTTCCTGGTTTCTTCCTCCACTGGAATTTGGTTTGTTCTATCCCACAGTAGGTTGTTGCTGATGGTGTCTGGCCAACGAATCCGAAGTATTTTCCGCAGAAAACCGTTTCATAAATACTCATATCTTCTGGATGATGGCTTTCGTAGTTCTCCAAGTTTCCGCTCCATACAGTAGAACTGTCTTGACATTTGTATCGAAAATTCTGATTTTGGTGTTAATTGATATTTGTTTGGATTTCCAGATATTTTTCAACTGTAGAAATGCAGCCCTTGCTTTGTTGATCCGCGCCCTCACATCTGCATCGGATCGACCTTGATTGTCGATGATGCTGCCCAGATATGTGAGGGTCTTAACGTCCAGCAACGGATCGCCATCAAGAGTGATTTTGTTGGTGCATGTTGTGTTGCATCGTAGAATCTTGTTTTCACCTTTAGCATGCTGAGACCTGCTGCTACACTGGTTGTCTTTTCTTGGATTTGTTGTTGCGTGTGCGATAGAAGAGCCAGGTCATCTGCGAAATCAAGATCGTCCAGCTGCATCCTAGCTGTCGATTGGATTCCGTGCTCCCCTTCGGATGTTGACGTCTTCATAATCCAGTCGATGACCAGGAGAAAGAGAAAGGGTGAGAGTAAGCAACCTTGCCTGACACCGGTCTTCACCTCGAAAGAGTCTGTTAGCTGTCCTCCATGCATGATTTTGCAGTTGAATCCATCATAAGAATTCCGTATGATGTTGTTTATCTTCTCAGGCACGCCGTGGTGTCGAAGAAGCCTCCACAGTGTTTTCCTGACCACGCTATCGAATGCTTTCTCGCAGTCAATGAGGTTGATTTTGAGTGGTGAGTTCCACTCAACTGATTGTTCCACAATGATACTTAATGTTGCGATTCGGTCGGTACACGATCGACCCTTATGAAAGTATCACTGATTAATACAGGGCGTAAAATTATTATAATAAAATAAAGGTCTTATCCAGCTAAGGAAGGAATAGGAGTGTCACGAATTTTTCTTCTGAACGCATAAATTGAAGTTATAGTTTCGGATTGTTATAACTTATGCTAAAAGTGGTAGACGGGGTCGAATTCAGTCGGAAAACAACAGAAATATACGATAAATCACTCGGGATAATTCAAATTCATCCACCATATGACCACTGTCAGTTAGATGTGCCAAGATGGAAGTGCATACTTTCTTTATCTAAGCCTGTTTAATCACTCATTGGTCAAATTGCCTGATAGTACACCCAATGTGGTTAACCCTCTATAGGAGCAGCTAAATTTGTCGATAACCATTGAGGAGAAAAATTCAGGTGACCCATCTTTTATTTGAGCTTGATATCACTAATCGATTAAAAAATATCAACACAAGATTAGTTGGGTACAATGTCCTACTAACTATCCTCGCTAATTGTTAGGATATTCATCCAATATCCTAAGAGAATTACTGGTCAATTCCTATTGGTTTATTCCTACTGGTCAATTTTATGATCGTCCTAGGTATCAATGTCACATGCTCCAATGTTGTTTCTTATTGGTTGTCTTGAATATCAATGTCACTTCAAATGTTGCTTCCTATCGGTCGTCTTAACTGTCAATGTCACAGAATTCGATGCTGTTTTCTATTCGACCAAAATGTATAAATACTCATGATCTGTAACGTTTTGTGACCAGGACCCGGATCCCTTGTCCGGGATCCTGATTCTATTCTGGACTCGGACCTCGTACTTTGTGGATGCTTGCAGAATACAGATTCTACTTAATTTTTACTCAATATGGGGGTTGAAATAATCGGATTTGAGTAGCATGTCTTGTCGCCGGATCCTCGCTCTCGTTTTCCGACTAGGTAAACTCGTGATAGTTCAAGCATATCAAGTTGACGTGTTTATGTGAAGGCGTAACACTAGTCTATCATACTGGATGTCACTAGCCACAACAAACTCCGATGAATTGTACTCTTACTTATGAAACTTTCTTCTTTATAAACAGATATGTTTAGGCCTATATGTTAGCTATTAAAATCACTCAATTAACATGTACACAGCCTTGATTTGTTTTAACCGTACTACTAATCTTTTAAATGGATTTATATATCATCATTTGAAATCATCAGCTACTTTAGAATGTTTTTTTATTTTCTGGAAAAAATAAATGAACAATTCATCAAACCTAAAAAAAACTGTTTTCTAATATTTCAGGCAAAATGTAAACGTTGGCTTCAGGATTATGGTAAAGCAATAATGGATTTGTAGAGCACTCACTGTACAGTATGCAACATCTCTTCATAATTATTATTACTAAACAATACGCATAACAATAGTAAAAGAAAAGAATTATTCTACAGAATTACATAACAATTTCCTTTATATATATTTTAACTGAAAGTATATTAAATAATCATTGAATGTTCACTTAAACAATGAATGCTCTACTTAACGAAAAAAATTAGAGAATGGTTGATGGATTGATTGTAGAATTATTTGCATTTGTAAAAAAACTACTTATAACAATAAATACATGAAAAAGTACATTTTTTGTTTTTGAGATCACATTACAGATTTGTGAATTTTTCATCAATCGATCAAGCTTCGATCAACAAACATCCTAAACCTAGGAGGATTGGACGACCGTTTTGTCCTAGTATGCTACTCATCAGCACTGTATATCCACGACCCCCACTGGTCTAACAATACTTAATTACTTACTTACTTACTTACGCCTGTTACCCCCAATCGAGCATAGGCCGCTCACCAGTTTTCTCCAACCAACTCTTTCCTGAGCTTTCCTTTCCAGTTTTCGCTCATTGTTCTCATATATTTCTCTATTTCTCGGCGTAATGTGTTCCTTGGCCTTCCTCTTTTCCTTTTACCTTGAGGGTTCCATGTAAGGGCTTGTCTCGTGACGCAGTCGGGTGCTTTACGTAATGTGTGTCCTATCCACTTCCACCACTTTATGGCTGTGAAACATGGCCAGTGAGAGTAGAAGATATTCGTAGGTTATTGGTTTTCGATCATAGATGTCTTCGAAGCATTGCTCGTATATCGTGGGACAACCGAGTGAGCGACACTGTTATTAGGAAACGGGTGCTAGGTAATGATGGCAGATCAATAGATGAAGTGGTGAAACTTCATCAGTTGAGGTGGTTGGGACATGTGTTACGTATGCCCAACCACCGACTGCCTCGACGAGCTTTGTTTTATAGTGTAGGAATAGGTTGGAAGAAAGTTAGGGGCGGCCAAACCAAAACATGGCAGAAATCTATGAAGTCATTGACGAGTGAACTTAGCCATGTAGGTAATTGTCGACTACCTGGTTTGGGTCCGCGAGATGATAATAATCGATGGTTAGAGACCTTGAATGACATGGCTCAAAATCGTTCACAATGGCGCCGGTGCATTTATTCTTTGTGTTCTCTCAAATCCTAATCTTTTGGATTCTTCAACCACACTAGTTTTGACTTTCTAAACTTTTCTCACTGAACAATATTTCTTGAATACCTTCTAATCGTAACCTCTCCGATTACTTCTAATACCTTTACTACCTCTTCTACTATTGGATTTGAATTGACAATTACATCTCTGTGCCGATGTGGTATGGCAACATGAACGGATGTACTTACGTACGAAGTTCTGCGTTGCATCTGACTTCCTGATTTCTTCCTCCACTGGAATCTGGTTTGTTCTTTCCCACAGTACGTTCGGTCTAACAATGATCGATCCATAATTTCAATAAAAACCAACAATCCACAGTTCTATAATGAAAATCATATAATGTGCTCATCAGTGACTAACTTTGTGCTGAGTTTTGGTGAGAAGCTGTGACTAGTGGAGTTCAACCAGGTCAGAAATGCGCTTACCTTTCGAAGATAATGGATGAGGTTGTACAATACCTTGGATTAATTAAAGTTATACTACACTCACACTATTTGGTATAGGCCCAGTGGTTCAGGAGTTAAGCGTTCGCGCACGCGACCGAAAGTCCTGGGTTCGATTCTCGTGACCGAGGGTCGTGGATGTGCAGTGCTGGGAAGTCTCATAATAGGACAAAACGTTCGTCTGGTTCTTCTAGGTTTAAGATCGCGGTCTAACATTGATAGATTCATGATTGAAGACTATACTGAAACACTAGATATACGATATAATTCCGTATATGTATACATTTGTATGCGAAAAATAAGATCAAAGGGGTATACAGTCAGAACAACGACAGGTTTAAAATCATTAGCAACCAGTCAAGACCGAGGTTAACAGAACAAGCTACGGGTCAAACGTGAAGAAATTCGAATGCTTAACTTCTATCTAAAGTTTGTGTTGATAATGTTGTTCAGAAGAACAATCAAAGCCCCACAACCAAAACACCTAGCTCACAGAAAAAACACCACCACAATCAACCACCTGAGCTACAAATTTGTCAACCAAATCATTTCAAAATTCAAGATTTAAAATCGAGTTCAACAGTAAGTGACATTATTTTGATTTGGTTAGCTTTAGCTTTCTTCATTGACCATAATAACGTATTGTAGTTGGTTGTGACTGAGCATATGTAACACACATCCTAACCATATCAGTCGATAAGGATTCTGTTATGCCTGCATGTAAACACGTCAACTTGATATACTTGAACTATTACGAGTTTACCTAGTCGGAAACGAGAGCGAGGATCCGGCTACATGACATGCTACTCAAACCCGATTATTTCAACCCCCATATTTAGTTAAAATAAGAAGACTTGATATGAAGTAGAACTTGTATTCTACAAGCATCCAGAAAGTACGAGATCCGAATCCAGAAGAAAATCAGGACCCCGGACTAGGAATTCGGGACCGAGCCCTGGTCTTGGTCATGGTCATAAAATGTTACAGATAATGCGTATTTATACAATTTGGTCGAATAGGAAACAGCATCGAATTCTGTGGCATTGACAGTTAAGACGACCAATAGGAAGTAACATTTGAAGTGACATTGATAGTCAGGACAACCAATAAGAGACAACATTGAAGTATTTGACTTTGACAGTTAAAACGACCATAAATTTGACCAATAGAAATCGACCAAAAGGATTAGACCAATAATTCTTTTAGGATATTGGATGAACATCCTAACAGATTCATAACCACATCAACCAACTTGTCATTCTATGCGTAAACTAAACATTACCCATCCGATCGTTATACAGTACGTCTTGAAGACAACTATTATCAAATTTGTTTTTCTTTATTTAAGTTTAGACACACCAAAATATTTACACAACAATTAGATTATTGAATTTGAGAGTAGTCTAGGATATTGCCCAGAAGGTCAAACCGAACCAGGTGATTTTCTTAGAGCACCACTCCCCGAGCATTTGACCTAGAAGTCTAATCCAGAAGCCAGTGCAACAATGTCACGAGATACAATACCATGGTAGCCGGTAACCAATAATAGGTTTATACATCATGTTTCCTATCAACAACCTGGATCTGATGTTCACTATTCACTTAGAACGAGGGTTTTCAAACTGTTTTGTTGCCTTGTTCTCTGAGCTGGATTTTTCGGAGAACAAAACACCATAACAATCATCCAACTGAGCTATATAACTTTCTCCACCATCTCAAAATCATATGAGTGTGACGAGTTTCAAACTCTCCTAGGTGGATGCTCCGTCCTGACTAACTTGATTAAAGTGCCAGACATTCACTTTTGCATCTCTTCGATTTCGTGGACAACACTTGTGCTATACGAGAAGTCATTGAATAGGACTTCTAAGGTAGTGGTTATATACACATGCTCATATGACAGTATAGTGTTCGCTCGTATTTAATTTGATTAAGCCTTTCGATCAATTTATTTAACCAAGCCATTTGTATAACAATAACTTAAATTTGCCATTGGCTTTTATTATTGTCTGGTTTTTATGAGCTTGTACTGTAGTGAAGGAGAACACAGGTGAGAGCAACAGAATTGTATTAAACGGAAATTACAGAGTTACTCAGTAAAATAGGAAAACCATATCGTAAATCGTTAATTTGCACATCTTCAATCCATTGTCTGACATTTCACTATTCATGCGTTTCATACAAATTCCACCATTATGTTCGCACTCTTCCTTTCTTGATCTTCCCTCATCTTCTGCTGCCAGACATTACGTTTACACTCGCGTCATATACTACTTATAAGTAGCGCACACCACAGTACGACCGAGCATTGCTTACGCCTATGCGCATATTCATCCTATTCGCTTTAATGTTAATCTCTCTTAAATACCTCGATAACTCAGATATCTTCCTATGTATATATACGAACATTTTAATCTTATTAATCTCATTCGCACATTCACTCGCTAGTGTGCCTGCCCGGGCTACTTGTGGTCTGCTATCCCTATTTGTGGTGTGCCAGAATAAACATATTCAACACTTCAAGTTTACCTTTTGATTTATAAACTGTCAGACGTTATTTAGTAACGATTGTCTGGACGAGCTAATTACGAAATTGGCCACCACAACAGCATTTAAAGAAAGAGAGCCAACTCTCCCAACTTTCAATCATACACCAGGGAATTCATGACCCATCATCAAAAACATATAATCTATATTTATATTTATATATATGTATGTATATCTTTGAATGTTACAAGAACATATTTTTCACAGTTTCCTAGAATAATTAAGAAATATATGTGATATATATTTTGTTCAAGAATAAAATAATACTACTAATAAAAAGTTGAAAGTATAAAGAGGTATATATATATATAAGTATAATAAGTAATAATTACTAATTACAGAAAAAAATAATTAATTGTTTATTAATGAAAGAGAAGAAGGAGGAGGAGAGGAGAGGAGAGGAGAGAAATAGATGCGCTCTTCTTCAATAATATACTAATAAACAGGTTATATATGAAGAATAGAGTTGTCGCTGGTGTTGGTGTTAGTGTTGTTCAATTGTTCATCATCTGAATTCATTTAACATTTCATTTAATTCAACATATAAACGTTGTAAATGTAAATTCAATGCAAATAAACTTAATAATTCTTTGGCTAATATATGCCTTGATATACCCTAAAGATTATAGAGAAAAAATGAAATAAAATAAAATAAAAAAAATTTATTAGATTATATAGGAAAGAAGAGTTTTTATGTACTATTTAATAGTAGAGGTGGATAGTAACTAGAAGTGGAATTCAAAAAAGCGTGGTTCTTTCTATTTGCGACTCAGTTAGCGTGCTAGCACCTGAATTAGTGATAGGGAGTGAAGTAGTCGAGCGTGTAGACCGCTTCACTTATCTGGGGGAGTCTCATCAGTGCTGATGGCCTGGTGACTGACGAAATCTCAGCACGGATACAGAAGGCTCGATTGGCTTTTGCCAACCTGCGTCACTTATGGCGTAGGCGAGATATCCGTTTGCTAAACAAAGGACGAGTGTACTGCTCAGCAGTTCACTCCGTCCTACTGTACGGATGTGAGACTTGGCCGTTAAGAGTACAGGACTTTCGTAGGTTACTAGTCTTCGATCATAGGTGCATCCGAAGCATTGCTCATGTATCCTGGGACAACCGTAAAAGCAATGATATCATAAGGAAACGAGTTCTAGGTAGAGATGGCAAATCAATAGGTGAAGTAGTGAAACTTCATCAGTCGAGGTGGTTGGAACATGTGTTGTGTATGGCTAACCACCGACTGCCACGACGAGCTATGTTTTGCAGTGTAAAAGTAGAATAGGAGATAGCTAGGGGCGGCCAAAGCAAAACATGGCAGAAATCCATGAAGTCATTGACGAATGGACTTAGCCATGTAGGTAGTTGACGAATACCCGGTTGGGGTCTGCGAGACGATAGTCACCGATGGTTAGAGACCTTGAATGACATGGCTCAGAATCGTTTGCGATGGCGCAGATGCATCCACTCTTTGTGTTCTCTCTAATTCTAACCTTCTGCATTCCTCATAATCTCTATCTTTCTCCTTCCAAATTTATCTTACTGAATTATACTTTTTGAATCATATCTTCGCTCCGTAATCTTCTCCATTACTGCTAATACTTCTATTATTGCTATCACTGTTCGATTTGAACTGACAGTTGCGTCTCTGTGCTGATGTGGTATGGCAACCTGAACTGATGTACTTACGTACAAAGTTCTGCGTTGTATTTGTCTATTTATTACGGGTATGCGGTCGGATGTCACTTCCCAGATGCCCACACCACCGAGAGGTGTTGCTTGAGGAACTTGAAAACCAAGTTGCGTTAGCGTTGGTCATAGTGACCTCTACGAGGGTAACCAGAGAGTCAATGAAAATGTTTTAATGGGAAGTTTTTGAAGTGTTAGCTCAGCTCTTCATGAGGCCTTACCGTCGGAGAAGGAAATCCGTGAGGTAAGTTGAGGTGTGACATTTTTGAAGTCGAACTTTTCTTAATCTTAATCCGTGGTTAGAGACTTTGAATGACATGACTGCGAATGAATAACTTGCAATGGTGCAGGTGCATCGATGCTCTCTCTGAAATTCTAATCTTCTGAGCACCTCATGACCATATTTTGCCTTTTAAATTTATCTGACTGGATTATACTTCATGAATCATATTTTCCATTCGTAACCTTTTTGATTACCGCTAATACTGCCACTAGCTCCACTACTATGGGATTTAAATCGACAATATCATCTCTGTATGCTAATGTGGTACGGTGCCTTGAACTGACATATGTACGTACGAAGTTCTCCGTTGTTGCTGATTGACTAAATTATACTACTCCCAACGTGGTAGTATGCAGTGGAGCGTCGCACGGAAGAGTGTCCGATCCGATTGTATGGTGCGATCACTGTTTTGAAGACTAGAGGATAGCCAATGACCTGCTGGTTTTGCAAATGAAAGTCTGAAGATAAGGTTTCAACATTTTGTCAGCAAACGGTGTCTTTGAATAAATCACTTATTCCATCTGGTCTTGAAGTCTTCGTTCATTACACTATGAGATAAACTCAATGTTTTGTGCAGACTTTCAGCATGAAAAAGTAGTCGGAATCATAATGTTGACTATGATATTGAATGATACAAGTTTTGAATTTCTAGAAAAGAAACAACAATTCTCTGAAAATTAAAATTAAGATAGAACGTAAAAATGTTAGACAACTTTAAAAATAACTCACCTTTATTTCTGATTGTAAAGTAGAATGTAGTTTGTTAGTTCCAGATACAGGACCAATGAGATCTTGAATTATTTGACGAACTCGTTCTTCTTCATCTAAAATTTTGTGCGAAAATATGGCACTAAGTGTTTATTTGACATAAAATCGAATTGATTACACTTTTTAACAGTATCATAAAAGTGATAGTATTTGTATTCAGATTGTTCATCTACATACAAGTCGAGCATTCGATCAAAGAACCGCTCGTATGAGAATCTCAAGATACACCGAAGGTGCATATTACATGCTTGTAACAAAATCAACATTACGAGACTCAATTGATTCGAGGAGGATTCATCGAACTTTGCATATGTTCGAAAGGACATGAATGCATAAACCACAAAGTCACAATTCAGCATCATTTAATGAGGCGATCACCACAATCGACTTAAAACAGAACGCTTTGCCATCAGTCATCGTTGAAATGGCTCGGTAGAGGAATGCCGCTCACTCTAGAGTATATGTTTAGACTCAGATCACGATGAGTGTGTGAACGTGTTATTTTGTGTCTCAAATGACGTAAAACCGTCACAGCAAAGGAAGCCCTTTGAATTCAACTTAATGATAAAGAATCCAAGAGTATATTACACAAACAATTAGAAAGCTAGTTAGTCAACTAAGTAAACGATACGCAGCTAGAGGAAGCTTGGAATGATATGCGAAAACCTATGGAAACAGTAGTGATAACTAACACTAAATTCAATCAAATGATTAGGTAATGTCAGTAGATTTCATCAGCATATATTATACTGTCTAGTTCTGAACACGATGAGAAGCGGAGTCAACTTAAACACAAGCTGATAAAAAGCTTACTCAATGATCGCGAACAGTGGTGGGTGGCGAAAGCAAAAGAGATGGAAAAGGTAGTGGCAATAGGTAACAGTAGACAGCTATTCAGAATTATCAAGGAAACCGGTATAACAAACTCGACTGTTAGCGAGACTATCTCGGAAAAAGGTGGGACTCTCAATCAAGGAGATTAGATTGATGGGCAGAACAATTTAAGAAGCAATTCAGCTTGCCTTCAGCGACACTTCAGCAGGACTTGATAGATTATCCCCTGAGATTTTTAAGGATGATGGTTCCGGTTTAACAGTTAGATTGACTGACATCTTAGGTAGAATTCGGGAACTGGTCTTAATTCCTGACTATCGCAGTTTGTAAAAAAGAACAAACGTGCTCTTGTGACAATCACAGGGGAATTAGTTTAACTAATATAGTGTCCAAAATATTAGCTTCAATAATAATTTGACGCTTAACTAGAGCTCGTAAAGAGCAGATTCGAGAAAACCAGGTAGGTTTCAGATATGGACGTAGCTGTATAGACCAAATATTCACTCTTCATCAGATCCTAGAACAGAGACAGAAATTTAGACGTCCGACAATAGGCCTCCTGTTTGATCTTAAGGCGGTGAGGTTTTGTGGTAGTACCTCTCATTGAAAGCTGTACACAAGAAATACATTAACTTTGTACAAACCTAATAATTTGTTGCGTCCGAAACATTAAACAAATCTAATATTATTATAGAATATAAATATAAATATATATATATATATATATATATATATATATATTAAAAACAAAGGATAACTCACTATCTTCAATGAGTTGACGGAACCAACGAGTAAGCCAATAACGATATTCATTGGATGATCCAAATGATAAAGCTAATTGAGTTTGAGATTCAAGGAAATTTTGATTTGAAACTTTTCGACAGGAGGCCGAACTAAATAAATTAATTAAACAGAGGAAAACATCATATATATATATATATATATATATATATATATATATATATATATATATATATATGGGGATACGTGTTAGGATATTCATCCAATATCCAAAGAGAATTATTGGTCAATTCCTATTGGTTAATTCCTACTGGTCAATTTTATGATCGTCCTAACTGTGAATGTCACAGACTTCGATGCTGTTTCCTATTCAACCTAAATGTATAAATATACATTATCTGTAACGTTCTAGGACCGGGACCCGGATCCCTAGTCCAGGATCCTGATTCTCTTCTGGACTCGGACCTCGTACTTTCTGGATGTTCTGTAGAATACACGTTCTACTTCATATCAAGTCTTCTTCTTTTTACCGAATATGAGGGTTGGGACACTCGGATTAGAGTAGGATGTCGTATCGCCGGATCCTCGATCCTCGCTCTCGTTTTCCGACTAAGGTGAACTCGTAATAATTCAAGCATCGGCTGCTTAAAGTAAAGAAAACTGTTATAACAACTCTGATAGTTGGAATTATTAAATCAGCGAAATTTGTCATTATTAGTTTACTTATGATGTGAATGATGATCTATTAATCATAAGCAACCTATTAGCCTTTAACATAAGTATGTATTAGTTGTATGTACCATACACTGTCAGGAAAACAAAACAAGATTCATTCTTATCAAAAAGGATAGAAAGGAATGATGTAAATGATACGGAAAAAGATATGTGATTTCAAAGTAAAAAAAGAGTAATGTTGAAATTTAGTGACTTAAGTTATAACAAACTACTTATAACGACAATATAGGAAGATTCAAATGAGAAGTCTGTACACTGTGTACAAATATGTCGCAGCCACAGGGCTTGTCTCAGTTAGCAATCTATTCTTCTCGAGTGAGTTGTCGAACGTCTTTTGACCTTGTCAATTATTAGCTTACAACATAGGTTGTCTTTATTGAAGTGTGTATGTGCATTGCTTAGTTGGCTTATCACATCCTTCATCGCAAGGAGTTAGCTCACTTGCCTTTTTCATTTCGCTTCGCTTTACTTGTACGTTTTCATGCTCATATCTGTCTGTCTAAGTGAATGCATAACACAAATTCATTGGAAAAACCGTATTTGGCTTCTTATGACCGCTGTTGCATAAACGAGGTTCATCTAGGCCGGTATACACGGAAATTAAAGCGAAGATTTATTTCATGGCATATACCGTCATTCGTCCAAACTGGAGTCAGATCCCGGGCCATTATAAGTCTTCATGTTTCAATATGGCTCAGTGAATATAACCTTACAGTTCGGTCAGTATTCGCTGTAATCAAAGCTGAGCATACCTTCGGTGAGGAGATATATTCTTTATTCCTAGAGTTTCGTTAGTCAATAACTGCTTAGTAAAAAAATGTAACTAACTTTAAAGCAGTCAATTTACATTCCATGTCATATTGATATAACTAAGAAATGAAAACGATAAAGTAGATTGATTCAAAGTGAGGATCATGGAATTACTAATTTTTAGCAACTACTGTATTCTCATAAGAGAGAAATTGAGGCATCGATATACACTACACCTGAGAAAATGACTTAAATATGCTTCCAAATGTATATCCTGATCCACAAGTAAGATTAAAGAAACTGAAAAAGTGTAATCATTTTATTACAGTGCTTACTAATTAAACCTCCCTACTTGCAGATCAGTTTACACTAACACTGCCCCCTGTAAATTTAACTACTTTGAAAAGCATTTAACTTAAACATTAAAACACAACATGACCTTGTACTTGAATCATGGTAGACTAGATAAATTTGACTGATCTATCGTTGTAATTATCGCTTTCAATGTCCTGGACTCTCTGTTTCTGTTTTATTTTCTGTGGTTGTAAATGATTTTCACCAATCCGATATGGCACTGAAAAAAGACTACTTAATACACACCATCCATACAACAACTGGATGTCCAGTTAACAATTACAGATAGTTCTTGACTGACGCTTTGAATTACTGTGAAATATATGGAAGAAATCTATTGAATTACAACACATCAACCTATCTATAATTAATTATCTACCCTCTAGATTTAAAGCTACTATCACAATGTTGACGCCTGTAAACTAAAAAGGAATTTTGTTAATTTCGTGAACAAGATTGAAAACAAATTAGGATACGATTAAAACAACAAAAATAAACCAATCAATCAATATATACGTACATAACATTTGAGCTGGAATTAATGGAAGGATTTGATTTTTGTACATGAGTAATCACTTTATTTAATTGTTGACAAGCAGATAATGGGCCTGCAGGACAACCACGTGCAGAATTCATAGCAAATTGACAACGTCCCATATCAGATGCATCGAATAATTCAATCCTTTAACAAAGTTTGAAAAAGAAACATTCTTTTTACTAAAATTTACTTCATATTTAAACAAAATAGCAACAATAAATCTGACATCAAGTTTATCGTATTAACTGGAGCTATGATTTAACGGTTAGAACAGTTGGGATGTTATTAGTATTGTGGCGTGTGCTACTTATACGAACGATATAAGTAGTATAAGAAGGTAAGTGAAAGAAGAAGTCTCACGGTCAGAAGAGGAAAACGGAAAGCAAATGGAGCAAAAGCAAGAAGTAAATGGAGTACCAACAGCAAGGAAAGGAAGCAACAACAGGAATGGAAGAAGGATGGAGTGTTGGAAGTCACGACTCAAAGATGGTGTGCAAATAGAGTATTCAATGTAATGTTTTCGTTGTTAACTGACTCAGATTGTAAATTTGCATAACACAATCTTCCTCGCCTGCCTCAGTCTTCGCAGTATAACTCAGACTTTAACCATCTTTCGTTTACATCAGTGTGGATAGACAGTTAGCAGTGTTGATATCTTGAACGAAAACACTATGGCTTAGAGCTCAGTTTCTTAGTCCGTATATATCTACACATATACGAAATAGCAGTTTGCAGACCAACGAAATGTCTTTTTCGATTTAGTGGTGAGTGATGCTTATTAAAAATTCGGCTATTGAAGATCATCTGGAACACAGCACAACTGTCTCCCGACTAACTCCAAAGTCACAATATTCAACATGAACGTCAAAACCATTCCATTGTATGGAGCGGAAACCTGAACAAACTACAAAAGCCATCATCCAAAAAATAAAACGTTGTCTACGCGAGACGTTTCTCACCATTAGAAACAACCTGATGTGGTAACAACAAATCAAATTCCAGTTAGTAAAGGAATTAATAAAAAGTGCTGGATGTGGATAGGATACATGTTATGCAAATTACCCAACTGAATCACGATACAAATCCTAACTTAGAATCATCAAGGCCAAAGGATAAGAAGCAAATCAAAGGACATATTGTGCCAGCAGTCGG